TGATTTTTCTTCTTTATCCTGTTGACATGATAGGTTATATGAACTGATTTTCAAATGTTGAACCAGCATTGCATACCTGGGATAAATCCTGCTTTGTCATGCTGTAAAATTTTTTTATACATTGTTGGGTTCAATTAGCTAATATCTTATTGAGGATTTAACTTTTTCTTCGAGCTTCATTTCTTTTTAAAACTTGCTGTTCAAGAAAAATAAGTGTTACACATTATTATAGAAAATTTGGACTAAAAGTGGAAAAAAAATACTTTTAATCCCATCACTCCGAGGTAATCACTCTCCATCATTTTGGTGTATTTCTTACAATCTTTTGTAATAGAAATGTTAATAACAGCAACAGTAAATGTTGTTATTACTTCTTTGGGTGGATACAGAGGTAGAGACCCCATGGTGCTGTGTTTACACAGGGGAGTAATGAAAGGAGGTAAAGAGGATATACATGACTGCTTTTGTCTGCATTTTCTGATGAAGATGAGAAAATTGGTTTAAGGAAGAGATTAAATGGTCACTTTAATAACCCTTTCTTTTCTCAATACTCCCATTGTAAAATCCAAGCAACTGAGACTTCCACCCAGGTTGTCAGGAAAATATTTGAGGGCACTCAGAATGTTAGTTACGGAATGTAGTTCATGGTTCATGTCTGCTGTATTTCTAGGCTGCTGTGGATAATTTTCCAAGCCTTAGGAATGAGCATTGGTTTTATTCACGAACAGTGGCTATTCTTCTCATACACGAAAGATCCTGAAAAAGGACTTTGTCCTCATCTCTTCCCTCACCTGCCCTCACTGGAGACTGATAGAGATTTGGAAAGCGCTGTCTTGGAGCAAAATGCCAGAATAAATACTAGAGGCTATGCAGAAGCCTTAACTTTGAGATTCCCAACGTGAAAGTTTCCATGGACACTGGCATGTTGGGAAGGCACTGTGCTGGTGGGAGTGAAGACAGCTTGTGGCATCTGAAAAAATTGCATTTCCTGTTTTTTTATTTTTCTATTTCAGAATAGTGGCCATTCAGAAGAGGAAAGGGGGAGTAAGAGTGGACTTCTTGACCTTTGGGGGAGGTATTTAGAGTCTTCACAAACTATTTCATACAGTTCACACTTTTTAAGATCATTTTTGGAGTAGGCTCCTTTAAACTTACTTGCAGGGAATTTGGCTAGTAGAACAAGTATTTCTGAACTCTTCAATCAACGTAGACTCAGATGTTTTTCTTTTGTGTAGCTTCCTGCTCCTGACCCTATTCCATCTTTCTCAGTTCATGTCAGCAACACCTTTCTGGAACAAATCTTTCTTAAGCCATGATGCTTTCTAGCTAGTATGCCTTTTTTTTTTTTTTTTTTTTTTTAATAATTTGCCTGTAACAGAAAACTAAATAAAACCTTAGTTTCCTGCAAGCCAGCTAGCTAGCTAGGAGTTAATGGCTTGCAACCCATGTCAAGCACGTTGAATGGTGTTGTTTTTAAGTATAAGCTCTTAATTCAAGGTTTTATGTGTTTAATTATGTATGTGTAAAGTGCCAGTCTGTATGCCTCTTGGGTCCAGCCTAGCATGGAAATATTAACTACACGATCATATAGAAAGTAGCGTGGGATGGAACTTAACTCTTCAGATGCATATCCTTTATCCCAAGCTTCACTTGGAGGGGAATAACTTCTCAGTGGGGACAATAACAGAGCTGCCTGTTGACCAAGGAAACATCTCAGTTAAGAAGAAATAAGTTTGAAGAACCTGAAGCAGTCAGAAAGGGATCATAACAGGCAATATATTGTAGTACAAAGTATACTGGACTGGACCAAAGGAGAGCTGGTTTCTAAGCTTGACTTTATTACTGCACATGTATGTGTGTGGCCTATAAATTGAGGAGGTTGGACTCAGCTCTAATGAGAACATTCAGATCTTCACTAGTTAGTTATGACTGTTCACATATAAGCCACCCAATTTTGCAAATTATAATGCTGTGTTTAAGTAATTTTAGGAAAATGCTATGTTTAAGTAGTATAGATTTTCACCCTAATACAACGATAACAAAGATATATCAAATGGCTTGTAACCTAGGACTTTAAAGTTTCAACAACTTAGGGGCCAGTTGACCAAAGGGAGGAAGCTCCTATTAGGGTTTCATTTGTGTAGAGGACCCAGGTATCACAGGGGAGATTTTGCTGGAGGCCACTACCAGTGCCCTAGGAATTACTCTGAGGAGAGGGAGATTTTTCTTTTAACCAGAGTAGTTCTACTTTTGGTTCTGTTATGATTTAGGGTTCTACATTAAGATTTTGTTTAGGGTAAGTGAAGTTCTGTGCCTCTAAAAAAGCTTGTTCTATGAGACGCCCAGGCTTCTCTTCTCTGCATATGTAGAATTTTCTTTTACTGACACTGTATGTAATACAGTCAGGAGTATGAGACTGTCACTCTCACCTTTCAGGAGCTGTAGGATAGAGGCTGAAGAAATTCTAAGAAACCTACGCAGAAATGATGTCAGTGGCTCTCAGGTTAGCAGGGGCTGAAGGAAAGGGTCTGCTGCTCTTGGAGAACCGTGAAGTTTGTAGCAGAATGGAGTTTTGATGGCAGGGAGGTGAAATGAAGCTTGAAAGGGAGTTTTGGAAGCTGTTTCACTCCTGCCATGGGTGAGAGTCCTTTCTCCAGAGTACTCAACCTACTATATCCCAGGGAGTCTCTCCTTTGGCCTCTGAATGTGAATGGAAGCTATGACCCAGAAATTTGTTCTTACCATTTTGAACTAGGTTGGAGAATATCTTTTTGTTGATTAGTAGAGAATGGGGGTGAAAAGGATAAAGGTTTTAGAGAGTAGATTATTCTGCCTTCAGTTCTTATTTGTGGCCTGATCCGTATAAGATAAACTGTACAAAATAAAGGTTGAGAAACCTGTGTAAAACAATGGGAAACAGAATTTGATTTTTTTTTTTTTTTTTAAGCCCTATGATTTAGTCACCTACTGCAGTCTGGCCACACCTTTCCTGACTGATGTCAGCTTCTGACCTGAACCACATGTGTATGTGAGGGCTAGTAAAATAGGTTGCGAGTCAGTTTTTATTGTGTTCTCCATTTTTAGTCACTTGTAACTGTTAAAGAGATTTTCGCAGGCATTCAGAAAAGTTCATCTCTTAGCTAAAATTTGCTAGGTTTAGTCTCTAAGAGAAGGTCTTAGGTCTTTATAAGACCTAATTTATTTCAGAGTTTGAGATCCATTCATAAAAGGTCATCATAAAGCATAACAGCCTTGAAATAAACACACTAAAAATAAAAGGAATTACATAAATAAGCACAAATCACAGTTCTCAATCTGATACAGAATTTGCGGGGACATTAATAACATTTAACACTCCCCTCCCCTTTTCCTTCGCACCAGGGAGAGTACCTGCAGAGAGTATAATGAATTCCTGAGGGCTTATGTCACTTAGTCATTTGATGTGTGAATAGAGACGTGTCCTACAGGCCTTATTTTGTACGGACGTTCTTATGGAAGTGTTACAAAAGCTGCTTACAGTATCAAGCCTCTTTCAGTTTTTAAGAGGCTAATTAAAAATGGCCCCATCTTCCTCTCTTCTGTAGACAGTCTCTTCCTCAGTCTCCTTTTTAGGTTTTCCCAGTTTGGCTTTCCTTCCCGGTGTTCTGGTGAACAGAGCACCAGACTGGGAGCAGGAAGATTGGTGTCCCCTGCATCTTCTCCAGGTGCCCTGCAGCTGCAGCTGTTCCCTTATCTGGCAAAGAAAGGGATTCGCTTAGGTGACAGCTACTTTCTCCTTCAGCTCTAAAACTCTCACTTGGACTTTCTCCTTCTGTCCACTGCTCTACCTTTTCCCTTTTCCCTGCCATAGTTACTCACCGTGCAGAGTTGTTTGAAAATATTCCTAAAATACACATAGTTGTGAGGAAGCATCAGTAAGTATAGTTACTGGAAAGATACAGAGTTTAGAAGGTCTTATTTTGGTAGTTTCTCACTTTGTTTACCTTATGCCCCAGCCAAATATATCCTGCAGCCATATTTTATTTGATCTGCTCAGTGTTTGCTATAAAATAAATCAATAATATGTTTTTACTCATCAGAGAATAAACATTTTAAGGATTGGCATGATCTAATATTGGTGAAGGTATAAAGAAATGCCTACTTTCACACACTGTTGTGGGAATGTAATTGGTACATCTTTTTTGGAGGGCAGTTGGGCTGTATCGGTCAGTAGTTTTAGAGTATATAATAAATTGACTCAGTGACTCTAAAAGTCTCTAAAAAAATTCATATGCGAATATTAGGAGATACATCCAAGGATGTTCATTACTGTGTTGTTTGTAATAGCAAAAATTTGGAAATATCCTGTATTTCCATTAAGAAGAAATATTTAATGGGTATGTTTATCTTTTTATTTATATATATAAATATTCATTGTATATATCCACATCATAGACATTAAAAATAATATAATGAAGTTGATCTGTATGTACAAACATATTTTAAATAGAAAAGCAAGACCCAGAACCTAATGTTCACTATGACCTATTTATATAAAAACAACATAACTGTCTGTATATGTATATGTGTATAACTAGATAGAAAGATGGCTGGAAGGATACATACCAAACTGTTACTAGTAATTACCCTCCAAAGAGAAAAATGGTATTCAGATGGAGAGAGAAGAGGAATTTCATTTTTTACAATTTACACTCACCTATTAAATTGTTAAAAAGTAATCAGGTATTGCTGCTGTAAAAATGAACAAAAGGAAGAGCAAAAAGGGAAAGGAGGATAAGGAATTACTTCCTAAAGACTAAAAAAGGCAAACGAACTACTAAGAAATTCATCAACAGTATTATGGGAACATTGTTTAGAGGATAGTCCCAAAATTTCAAGACCACTTAGGAACCATGGTTGGTTTATATTTTGGCCAGGGCTGCCTAGCATTTACAGTACAGTTCTATCCTTCCATTCTTTGTATGTCCAGCTTATTATTTTTACTTGTTTGTGTTCTGCAGGTAACCCGGGACCAGATGAAGGTGTTTATACAGCAGGAGTTTAAGAAAGTTCAGAAAGTGATTGCTGATGAGGAGCAGAAGGCCCTTCATCTAGTGGACATCCAGGAAGCAATGGCCACCGCTCATGTGACTGAGATACTGGCAGACATCCAGTCTCACATGGACAGGTTGATGACTCAGATGGCCCAAGCCAAGGAACAACTTGATACCTCTAATGAATCAGCTGAGCCAAAGGCAGAGGTAAAGGAGAATGCCTGGAATTATTAGTAGCAGGAGGAATAGGAGGAGACTGACTGCTATGTTTGTTAGCTGTGGAAATTCTCTTTTATGGTCCCTAAACATGAATGAATTGAAAGCTTAGGGTATAGGTATTTAGACTGGTGTGTGAACCAGTGTGGAAGTATTGGCTCCTAGGGCCTGCACCCAGGAATTGGGCCTGGCAAAATATTTGTCTACCATGACTTAAAGGAGTATAGTCAGTAGGGCAAATACTAATCACAGTTAAGGAGGGAAGCCAGAAATCAGAACCAGAGAAGAAGGCAATTGACAGATTCCAAGTTGTGAAATGAGCCTGTGAATAAAGTCATCATAGGGATGAGAACAGGGTGAATGAGAATGTCAGGAAGTGGAACATAAAGCAGGCCAGAATGAAAGGTTTTGGACTGATTGTGTGAATAGTAAAAAAGTGCCTTAGCCTGGTTTTTATATGGAGCCAACTGCATAAATTGGGGGCATAACTGTTAGATTAAAGGAGGCATGTGGCAATGGAAGGATCAAAAAAGGTGTGAATGAAAGACAAAGTAAATGTTGAATCACTACAAATGTGAGTCTCTGTATTCATTATTATTTTGTAACAGGCAAAAAAAGTCTTAAACATTTTACCAAACAACATATTCAGGCATTTAGAATATAATTCTAAAATAAAATTTAAGGCAGCCATTTTAAAAAATACTATAGAATTTATATTTCACCCACTGGGGAGAAGCTTTTGTTCATAAGGTTTCATAGTGTTATGTTGAAAATTCTGGTCAAGCTTATGTCAGAAGGGTAGGTCCTTCTAGAAGAAAACCTAGGGGAGTCCCATGGACTCTCCAGGACTGCTACTGACTCACTGAGCTTATTGCTTAGCTAGCAGTCTTGCCTTGGCCCAGGAGAGCCTAGATACAGAATAAATGAGCCGACGGAAGAGCCAGGTTATCATTCAAGAGGTAGGTATTGTCCGAGCCATCCTGACAGAAAATGTCAGAGACCGTTGGACAGTTATCTGCTTCACTCATCCAAGGTTCTTGCTTAATTTTCATCAGTGTGTGAAAAGAATAGAATGTCTTGTTCTTTTCATTTTATCCTCTGCAGAATTAAGAAAATGTGTGCCTAAGTAAGTTTCCAGATAGGTAAGAGAGCATTCTATATTCATCATTTAATTTAACCCTTATATCAGCATTCATTATCTCTGTTTTACAGGTGGGATATTGAGATGCAGAGAACTGCAGAGATGCTGAGCCAGTGTCATTTAGTTAGTAGAAAACAGAGCCAGTATTCAGATTGAAGTCTGTTCTATCCCAGTGCCTATGTGTTTTCCCTACTATGTGCAGTATGTCAAGTGTTCCATTTATATATGTGGGAAAAATGAAGAGAATCAGTGCCCTAGACAGCTTTGTGTTCCTGAGACCTTTTATTTTTTTTAAAGATTTTTGATTTATTTATCCTTGTCAGAAAGAGAGCATAAGAGAGCACAAGTGGGGGGAGGGGCAGAAGGAGAAGCCGACTCCTTGCTGAGCAGGGAGCCCGATGTGGGCCTCAGTCCCAGGACCCCAGGATCATGACCTGAGCCAAAGGCAGATGCTTAACTGACTGAGCCACCCAGGTGCTCTCCTGAGACCTTTTATAGTGTGGAGGTGGTCACTTTGTGTCTTAAACAAAAAATTCAACCAGAATTAACTCAAGGGATAAATGGCATCACTCTGTCCCAAATTCCCCCCAAATCGGAACCCCACATTTATTCTCTGTGTTGATTAGGTTGTTTTTTCAAAAATAAAGATTTATTTTTGAGAGATAGCCCCCTCTCTTTTATTTTCATTTCAAGTAATGAATTTAGTCCCTCCCCAGTATTAACCATCCTCTAAGCACTTCAGCTGCTTAACTGCGCTATGCTTGTTAACTCTGATGGGATTACTCCTAGGGATGCAAAACTGACAAGGCCAGAGGACCAGGCTGTGGACAAAATAAGCTATTAAAAACAAAAAGTAGCATTCAGCTGGCTAGAGCTTTTACAAAGAGCTGTTCTCATCTAATAGCCTCTCGCTCCAGCTAATCTGGTAACGTACTGATCAGAGCAAATCTCCAGTACCTCTTTTTCACTCAGCAGAGGAATTCTTTTCTTCCTTTTGCATGTTATCGATTTTTTTTAATCACCTGCATTTCATACTTGGCCAAAAGAGTCTTCCTCCCAACATTTTATTATGAAAATTTTTGAACATGTAGCAAAGTTGAAAAGATTTTACAGATTACACCCATATACTTCCACCTAGATTCTACCATTAACATTTTAATATACTTGAATCATGATTTACACATAGCCATCTTTCCAGCCTTCCACTCTTCAATGCATCTTATTTTTTTGATGCTTTTAAAATTGGATTGCAGATACTGATTCTGAACAAGATGGAGTAAACATATTTCACTTTATTACTTCCACCAATCACAGCAAAAATTCCTGGACAATATATATATATTTCTTTATTTATTTATAAAATATTTTATTTATTAGAGAGAAAGAGCATGAGCGGGAGGAGGGGCAGACTCCCCACTGACCTGGAAGCCAACGCAGGGCTCGATCCTAGGACCCTGAGATCGTTACCTGAGCCCAAGTCAGATGCTTAATCAACTGAGCCACCCAGGCGCCCCTGGACAAGATATTTAAGTCACCTACCAGAAGACTCTCAAAAGTGAGAAAAGATGGTCCTGACCAGGGATCTTGGGATTTGAGGAACTACATGGCAGTGAGTTCCCTGGGATTTTTCTTGCTTCCTGTATATCCTGGCCTAGGTGCCTTGCAAACTGGAAACTATAATGAGCACAGACAGAAAGAAAATCTCCCAAGAAAAGCCTACTCTCTGTAGCCGAAGAACTAGGAAAAGGGCAGTTCAGCTATAGAGAAGCCTTTTGATCAATCCTGCCTATTCTGGAAACACACCATGACTAAAACTATACCCCTTCCCAGCCCCAGTTGGCACTGCAGGAGTGGAGCCAGTGGGGTGGAAACCTATCTGTTGTCTTCTCCTGCAGTAATGAGTTATCATTCCTTTCCCCTGGGGCCTTTAGGTAAAAGTCTGACTTCTGTCATCACCCCTGCCCCACTCAGGAGTCAGTGGTGCCTGTCTCCCTTGGAGCCTAAAGGTAAACTCTTACTTCTACCCCTGCCCTGCAGTTATCAGGAAGGAAATAGTATCCCTCCCCTTTGGAGACTGTAGATGGAGCTCTAACTCCTCCCTCCCACCCCTACGTTAACTGGGCAATATACCTCCCAACTGGGTCAGTGAGTAGAACCTTATCTTCCACTCTTGTCCTATAGTAATGAGTTGGTACCCCTCCTTCTCCCTAGCCAGCACTCTGGAGATGATAGCATGGAGTTTTGTCATCTGAGGGGGGCAGATCAGAATAGCATTGCAGAATCATTTAAACTATATTGATATTTGAACCGCAATCCACGAACCTGATCCAGGACATGTGTTCTGCTTCTTTCTTCTTCTTTTTTTTTTAATCATAATTTTTATTTTCATTTTATTTTGTTTTATTTATTTTTTTAAATTGAAGTATAGCTGACACACACTGTTCCGTTAATGTAATAGGACATGTGTTCTGAATTTAAATATGTTGACTTCTTGCTAGAATAGAAGATTTAAATCGGAACCAGATTCTTAAATACTCAAAATGTTCAGGATACAGTCCCAAGTCAGTCATTATACCAAGAACTGATAAATCTCAACTCTAATGAGAAAAGACTATCTAATGAGAAAAGATGCCACCACCAAGATGACACAGAGTATAGAATTATCAGAGAAGGATTTTAAAGCTACTATTTTGAAAATGACTTAGCAATAACAAACTCTGGAAACAAATGAAAAATAAAAAATCTCAGCAAAGAAGTAGAAGATATAAAGAAGGACCAAATGAAAATTTTAGAACAGGAAAATACAATAACTGACATAAAAGATTTCACTGGATTGGCTCAGTGGCAAATTGGAGATAAGAGAGGAAAGAATTGGTGAATTTGAAGATAGAGATCCAATCTGAACAACCAAGAAAAAAGACTGAAAACTGATTGAAATTGAGTCTTAAGGACCTGTGGGACTATCAAGGAAGATCTAACATACATGTCACCCATGTCAGTACGGGAGGAAAAGGATTGTGGTGCTGAAAAAATTGAAGAAATAATGGCTCAAAACTTCTAAAATTTGGGTGAAAGACATAAACTTAGAGATTTAAGAAGTTGAGTGAACGCAAGCAAGATAAATTCTAAGAAATCCATACCTAGACACATCAAAATCAAAGTAATGAAAAGGAAGGACAAAGAAAAAAATCTTGAAAGCAAAGTAGCCAGAGAGAAATGACACAATTAGCTATGGGGAACAATAATTTGAATGAATGTAGTATATATAAGATATTTGCTCTATATCTATTGAAATGATTATATGGGGTTTTTTTTCATTATTTTATTGTAATGGCTGATTATACTGGTTAATTTTACAATATTAAATCAACCTTGCATTCTTGAGATAAACTCCCACTTCATTATTATGTATAATCTGGGTTCAATTCGTTAGTTTTTTATTTTATTTTTTTTAAAGATGTTATTTATTTGAGAGAAAACAAAGACACAGAACACAAGCGGGTGGGGGGCCGGGGGGGGGGAGAGAGGGAGAAGCAGACTCCGTGCTGAGCAGGGAGCACACTCCATCCCAGGACCCTGGGATCATGACCTGAGCCAAAGGTAGGCATTTAACTGACTGAGCCACCCAGGTGCCCCTCAATTCATTAATTTTTTAAAAAGATTTTTAGGTCTGTGTTCAATAAAGGATATTCATCTGTAGTTTTATATTTTTATAACATCATTGTCAGGCATTGGTATTAGGGTTAGCTGGCTTCAGAAAACAAGCTGAGAAGTATCCCCTCGTCATCTATTTTCTGAAAGTTTATGTACAATTCATGTTATTTCTTCCTTAAATAGTTGGTAGTATTTA